ATATCTGAATTTTTACATGATTTTTCCTTTTCTGTCGGTGGTTTTTCTGACCATCCGAAAGGAAACTATCATCCCTTGGAAATATAGTGATTCATATCTGAATTTTTACATGATTTTTCCTTTTCTGTCAGTGGTTTTTTCTGACCATCCAAAAGGAAACTATCATCCCTTGGAAATATAGTGATTCATATCTGAATTTTTACATGATTTTTCCTTTTCTGTCAGGGGTTTTTATAACTAAATTCCTTCCTCTTTGGTGTATCTTGTGACCTCAATAATTACTAATGAAGCTTAACTTTGAGAATAGCTAGAGCGTGATAGAGAAGAGTCTACTCTGATCAGTGTTGAGTAAACAAAATGTTTTAGTAGAAATGTTTGGTTTACCTAGATATTGGTTACACAAAGTTCCTGTATGAACAAAGGATTCTAATGTGAAGTTCACATCATTTAGGAACAAACCACCAATCTGGGAACTATTTTATAATTTCTTTGGATATTATTTTTGTTTCTGAAGTTGTTTGAAAGCTTCACAAGTACTCAAACAACCCACACAAAGAAAATAACCTATTTTTTATTTAAAACAAACTATATTTATTATGTATATATTGATCAAGGATATTGTTGGCAAAAACCACAATACAACATCCGACAAAGGTAATGGTGATGCCATTTTGAAAGTCTATGATAAAGTTTTTTTCAGTTTTTGCCATATTTTTGTGACTTATAACTTGAAATGGTGACTGCTTTAATGCCAAATAAAGTATGAAAGAAATATAAATGAAGATACAGGTTGAAACTGTATATATATATATATATGAAACTTTCTGATCAATAACAACAAAAGAAATTAATTCTAATGTTGAAGGAACTATTTTAATGTTTTTCAAAACAGTCTCACAGCAAAATTTTGGAAATTTCAAAACCTAAAAAATTAAGACATATTAAGTCATATTAAATTGTTCTAAGCATAAACTAGATACTGTTTTGAAAATAAAGTTTCTTGTAAGATCACGCAGCTTGGTAAAGCATCTCCATTTGAGAAGGAAAAATGAGGAACCATTTAATTTGGTCTAGAAAGGGTTAATAAGATTTTAGTATTTTTTTACAAATGATACTTTTTTTAACATTTGGTTTAGTTAAAAACTTCTGGTGATTTTTTAATCAAATGTTTAGTTTTGGTGATATGAGATTTTAAACACATCACAGGTATCTATTCCATATTTGTATATACATTTTTAGATAACATAATGTTTAATAAAAAACAAACAAATTTGGGTCAAAACAAGAAAAGAGGAGGTTTAGTAATTCTTTAAAATGTATATTTATTGTTAAAATATTTAGTATTTGTTATTTTAGATAAATCTTACTTGTAAATGCATCTTGTATCTTTACTATGATAAAAATATTTAAGTACAAGATTAGTAAAAAATTGTTAATTTAAAAAGGAGGAATAGGGATTGTCAAAAAACTGATAAGTACTGTAGACATGGAGTCAAATATGGATTTATAACTTGAGAAAAGAACGTAGACACTATTTCTAGCCTTGTTTGTTTACTTTTTGTTAGTCCCCAGTTGTAGGCTTGAAACTATAATCTTTGCATTTTGATTCACCTTGTTTCTATACTTTTTTTTGGCGATCCCTATTACCCATTTTTAAATTAACAATTTTTACTAAGCTTGTTTCTTAATCTTTTTTTATGTCGATTTATGGAGAATACATTGTAAGTTGCTTGTGTGCATGTGTGTTCAATTGAATGTTACATGTTTTTCAACATTTTACTGCTGCATTGGCTTTTTTCCCACCCAACCACCACACTGAACTTATTAAAAATAAATAACAAATATAGAACAAAGAATAAACACATGTAATGGTATGTAACTACAATAAACAAAGTTGTTCTCAATGGACCATCTTGAAGGCAAAGATTGTATCATCACAAATTTAATGACTGACTTCCATTAATGTCACAGTGTAATGTAACAAAAGATGAACAGGAACAAAGCAATCTCATCAGAACGGAGTAATGTTTTTCTTCGATAATGCAATACAGATTAATGCAGTGTAAACAGAGGTAGTAACATGCTTACCTTGTTAGGTCTACATGACATATGTACGTTCTTCAACAGCCTGCAGTGCACAAGTGTTTGCTAGAATAAGGCAGCAGAAATAATGCATGAAAAATAGACAACAGCGCCACGCTTCTTGTAAGTCACCAATTATCAGTATTTACAACTGCTACCTTCACATATATGAAATAGTGCTGTATGCAGTGGTAATAAATACTGAATACCCACTTATGATTTCAGCTAAGTCTAAGAAACAGCAGAAAGAATCACCATCGTATGAGTAGGTAAGTTTATTATGGTAATTGTTAAAAACTTGATGAAATATAGTTGTGGAAATCCATGTAGAGACAGAAAATTCCAGTAACAATGAACAATATCAAGAAACGATAAGTGACAGCAAAATTTGGAAATTTTCATGTGGTGGTTTCCTATTAATGTGTTATAAAAGACATGAGTTGTAGTTTCCAGCTAATACACACAGATTTTTTGATAGTGAAGGACTTGGAAAATTTTGCAGCGTGATAAAATTAAGAAGGTTAAATTAAGTTTAAAAGTACTCTCTCAGTTTTTACAAAATTCCTGTGACCCCACACGACAGTAGATATCACTTGCAATAATATTATAGTGGAGTCATAATAGGGATTTGTAGCTTGAGCAGTCTATCAACAGTATATCTTCAGCCTTGTTTGCTTACTTTTTTGTGATCCCTATCTGTAGAATTTAAATTCTTAACTTTTTATTATCTTTTATGTTGGCTTTTTTATTACACAGTAATGAGCAAATATATGCCTAGATTAAGACACGACTCCCCCTCATATTAAAAATGTATAAAAGTTTACCAGTAGAAAAGTAGCCTTTTCAAATATGTCTAAAACATCATTTTAAATAAAGCTTCATGTCTTTTAAAGTAATTATTTACTGGGTTAAGTGGCTCTGTGCTTGAGGTTTCATGCAAACATACACTGAGTACAAAAGCAGCTGCTCAGATAAAACAACACATCTATTATGTATTTATAACCATGTAAATCAACTTTCAATTTTGAAAAGTAATCACCTTTTTAGTAGGTCCTGGACATTGGCAGCATCTAGGTTTTGGTGCAAAATACTCGGCCGATTGTGCTGTAGGCTCGTGAAACGATAATAGTATGAATGAATGAGCAAAGTTTTGATTTTGTCCAATATCATGAAGTCACTAATTTTGCTTATTATCAGTGTTTGAGTGGTCTTAGCTATTGAAAAGGAAGGTTTTGAGTGTTGTTTCAAGAATAAGTCTGTTTTTCAAGGTGGTTTTTGTCTGACTTCTGTTAAGAACTTTTAAGCAAAATTCTGTGTGATCCCTATTACAAACCACTATTGTGGTTTATGAAAAAGAAAGTTAGATTCAGATTGTAATAAATTACTTATTAATTCTTTGCGATACTCCATTCATGGAGAGATTTTACTTGTAAACACAATTTGTATCTTTAGTGTGATAGTGAAAGTTGGATTATTTAATTGTAATTAATTTTTTGTGGTACATTTGTAATGGACAGTAATCCTCATTTCAGTGACATGCCTCCCAGTGGCACATCAGTAAGTACGCAGATTTACAATGCTAGAAACTGGGTTTGGATACCCATGGTGGGCAGATCACAGATAGCCCTTTGTGCTTAACTACAAATAAACAAATTTCAATGACATTTTTTTAAATATCTTTTGATTGGATACTAATTGTAATCACTTCGGAAGTAATCATTTACATAGTCTGTGATTTTTAAGTTTTCAAGTTTTTTTCTAGAAAAGAATGTAAAGCTTATGCAATAATGTTGGATAATATTTGTGGTTCCATGTTCAGTTAATATTTTTGCTTTCTCAGGATGGAAGAAGAAGAAATAAAAAGGCTAGCCGAGCAGAAACGAAAAGAAAAATTAGAAGAGAAAATGGCCAGGTGCATTTTGTTTATTCTGTTTTCTTCGTCTAGTCATGCACACACATACACCGAGTTTCTCATATTACAGATAGGTAGAGATATAAAAGTATAAGACATTTGTAGATGGATATATGACATTATGAAAGGCTGTATATAACCACAATTTCCTGACACTTTGAAATGTATACAAGGCTTATAGCATTTTCAAAAATTAATTTACTTTCATAATTATCAATAACTCTTGATAAAAGCAAGCCAAGTACATATGTCAGATTTGAAAAATTACCTAATAAATACTATTGATAATTTATACAACAGACTGACTAGGAACACATGTTGTTATAAAATAACTCGCCACAAAACAGAAACTTAAATGTGCCTCCACCAATCTCTCTTTGCCAAAAAAACTTAAGATTGTCCGTGGAGTCATTTTCGGTACTTTTTTGTCACTTAGGCCTTAATTCCCAGCTGTATTAGGATATGCCTACTCCATGTTAAAATCCTGGACCCATCATTGTAATAGTAGTACCTTATATTTATCAGCCTTAATTTCCAGCTGTATTAGGATATGCCTACCCCATGTTAAAATCCTGGACCCTTCATTGTAATAGTAGTACTTTATCAGCCTTAATTCCCAGCTGTATTAGGATATGCCTACCCCATGTTAAAATCCTGGACCCATCATTGTAATAGTAGTACCTTATATTTATCAGTTGATACATTATACACGTGCGTTAGAAGTATAACTCAAATTTGTTTCATTTGTGTAAGGGATTTTGCTTGCTATGGCTAATTATATAATTATGGATAGTCATGTTTCCCCTACCAGTAACAAGAGGGATAAAAGTAGTTCATGTAAGAGGTTTTAATGTTTATTTAATTATAATTTCAAGTAAAAACCTTTTAATTCTTAAGAGGACAGCTCGTATGATGATGTATAAAACTTTGTTTAGAAATAAGTTTTGCTGTAAGTTTTATGTGAATATATATATATATATATGTATTTTAATTTAGACTATTAATATGAATAAAAGAGTGTTATTTCTATTTCTAGACAGAGGGTGTTGGAAGAAATAGAGAGAGATAAACAAGCTCGAAAAGAGAAGTTTAATATAGGACCTCCAGCAGTGGCAGCTCCCTCCCCACCATCACAACCTGTTCAGGAGGTTTCTATACCAAAAGGAGTACGATAGTTGTAGGTTACAAATAAAATGTGCCCGTTAAACATACCTGTAACCTACAACTATAGTGTAACTGATTTGGTAATAACGAGTTCGGTAAAACTGACTGAAAGCGTATAGAGATAGGGTAGTGAAAATAGTAGATAATATATAAAGTTTTAGCGTAAAAACAATGTTTGATAGTTGTTACCGAGGTTTTAGAGATTACACAAATGAAGAAAAGTATTTTTTAATCAAAAATCACTTTGCACTAAGAGTAGTCAACACAGACTCCATATGTTCGTAGAGAAATTTCTGTACAAAATACTTAGTTAAAAATTCTGTTTATTTTTTATCTACAGAAAACTTGTAATGTTCACTAAAATACACAAAACATGTTAAAAGTTACAATGTAGTCCACCAAGGCAGTAGCAAAAGGGTTAAAAACTATATAGCTTAGTACAGACAAGGTAAAATTATTGGCTTAAACATGGTTGATTAAAAAAAATAACAGATTTGGTAATAACAATTACAGCTAATAACCACTATTCTATCATTTTTAGTATTGATGACAAAGTTTTCTCCTGAGAGTTTCTTCTTCAAACCTTTTCACATCTATTTATTGTAGTTTTAACACTTCACACAATAGTATCAAAGTGTAATTGTTCAGATCTTTACTTCCACAGGAATATAGTGTTCAATGTACACTGTGCTTATATTACCACTGGATGTACACCATCCTTATACTACCAATAGATGGTTATTTAATAAGAAGCAAAGTATTAATTAGTATAGGACAATTAACCCTATTAGGGGCCATTGGCCAGATATATATATCTGTGGTTGATTTCATAATTTAAGTAAAACTAGCTCTAATTCTTTCCATAACAATTGGTATGTATGGTATATATATAAAATACATAACAATTAATATGTATGGTATATATATAAAATTGGTATCTTGTAACCAAAAACTTTATTTAGTACAATTTGCAAAGAAAAATGTAAAAAAAATGTCTGTACAACTCTAAGGCGTGTATGAAGAGGTGAGGATTAGAACAACACATACTTTTATTGAAAAATAACTCCATTGGATATATTTACAGGATTTTAGGCACACAATAAAAAAGGAAGTATTTTTTAGTTATGTAAAAACAGCATGTCTTCCAAAATTTCATAACCTTAAATATTACACATGCATATTACCAAATTATGTAAGTTTTTAAAAGTTCACATTAAATATTATGTAGATTGTGTGTACCAAACTTAATGTAATAAGGTTAAGCACTCGTAAGTGTGAGAAGAAAAACGGATTACACAACATTACCCTGCTGGTCTGGAAAGGATTAACTGTCGAGTAGTGGTTTACAAAACATCCGACGAAGAACGTATAAAAAATTTAAAATTTACATATTGATTACTTTATACCCGATTATCTGAATTTATTCACTTTCACTGATGGCAAACCTATATTACTTTAGTGAGACATAATGGTGAAATAATAGTTCCCCAACATGTTTGTTTTATCTGCTCTTTATGCTTGTATATCATCATTACAGATCCGTTTGACAAATGGCCAGACGTTAACTAATAGTTTTGGTGCTAGTGAAGCATTGGCTGCAGTTCGATTGTACATAGAACTTAACAGAACAGACGGAGGTCTCCCCTTCTCTTTGATGACCACCTTCCCTCGAAAAGTCTTTACTGAAGAAGATATGCAGAAACCTTTGAAAGCTCTAGGTTTGTATTAACATCACTCTTCTTTGAAAAAAATTACTTGAAAGTACTGGAGTCCGATGATCTTTCCGCAAGAATAACAAAAATATTACTTCTTCAGAAAATTGATATAAATATATAAATTAATATTCAAACCATTCCTGTCTCACAAATGTACCTCTTACTGTAACGTTTTAGGAAAGTGTAACCCATGTTTTCTGATACTGTGCATGATAGCACTTTGAAAGCAAGGCTAATACTCGGGGTTTACCATGCATGTAAAATAATGTCAACAAAACATTTAGGTTGGTCACAAATTAATACACGTTTTCTCTTCTTTGTACCTTGCGATTGTAAGGTATTAAAATTCAGGTATGCTAATACCAGTGCAGTCTAGTACTGTTATCAGTTTGATGGCTGTTATTACTTAAACATTGAGTAGGGCTAGATGTATTGAGTATGTTGACTTTATTTTCAAATGATGGTGATAGGATTATCAGATTTAAATTGTCAACATTAGATATTTAAAGGCATTTTTATTTATTTTCAGGTTTTAAGGTAAACAGAATTACTAAATGTAAACAAATAAACATATCATGAAAAAACTGATAAACAGTTAAAAGGATTTTTAAAATCTTAATATTTAGATTGAATTTTACTGAAAAGTTATGAAATCCTTCTGTTTTTTTAATGGAACAGGAGTATGTTATAAATATATTAAGACCAATAATGGCTTGTAGGTAGAATAGATATAGCAATTCACCTTAGGTTCAGCTGGCTTTGTAAAGATTTTTGAAACTAGAACACGCGAGTCAAATAACAAAGTATAACTTTAGTTATTGGTTCTCAGTTCTGTGCTTGGAACAGTTAAATACATAAAGAAAAACCTAAATTTTCAAAGAATTATTAGGATTCTATTAAATGTACTGCGTTTGTTGAATTTAACTAGTCAACTGTATGTTATTAGGCCTGGAAATGTACATGAAGTTTACAGCACCCAAAGGAATCACCTACTATACACACCACTATGAGAAATATGATTGGAGGAGAAAAAAGTTATTAAACTGTGTTGAAGTTAGATGAATCTATACTATTATTCTGCTTGTTTGTATGTACGACCGTTACGCTTTATGACCGAGAACCTGCTGCATAAGCATGTGTAGTTAGAATGTTTCCCCAAGAAAACTGGGCATGCGCATTATTCACTCGACGACAAACAGTCTGCCTGCAGCAGAGAGCTGCAAAGCTCAGTGATCAAGTCGCTACAATTGCTGTATGAAACAAGAAGTAACAAAAAAAGGGGAATGTAAATATACTTTACTAACCATTTTGTACAACAGAATATTAAAAACGTATCAAAGTTTTTAAAAAAGGTTTGACGTTAGGTCGTAGAATAACATTAAGTTTATTCATCGATAGTATTAAGTAAAGTAAAAAAAAAAAAAACGTACATAGGTTACAGTGTTAATTTATATCTTTATCCAACTTAGGCCTAACATAAGTTAAGGTTTTATAAAGTATGGCCTATATACAAGTAGATTTACACATTTCGTTGTCTACAATTCGTTTGTATTGTGCTAGAAATGTTATATTTAAAGAAGCACTATTACGATAAAGATACTAATACTATATACAAGTAGATTTACACATTTCGTTGTCTACAATTCGTTTGTATTGTGCTAGAAATGTTATATTTAAAGAAGCACTGTTACGATAAAGATACTAATTTGGCTGGAAATGTTTTGCGAGTCTCTGCTAGTTGTATATTATTCTTTTATGATTTAAAACTGTTTCTTAACTGGTTGTGCTTTGAAAAGGCTTAAGATAAGATGACAGTATTTAAAAAGATGTTGCACAACAGCATAATGCAAACTACAAAATACATAGCAACAAATTTTTAATCGTTAATGGATGTTATATGTTTTAACCCGTCATAGCAGCTATGAAACAACATTCCTATACATGTCATACTTCTATAGTTTTATATGGTGGACTGCCGGAAATTCCCTGAAGTTTAGGTGGGCTGTGTTATGAAAATGGTTGAGAAACAACGATTTAAATTACCAAACATTCTACTAATATGTGCAGTTAATATTTTTTGTGAGTGTAATTCATCACAGTGTTATGAAAATAGTTGAGAAACACCGATTTAAATTACCAAACATTCTACTAACATGTGCAGTTAATATTTTTTGTGAGTGTAATTCATCACATAAATGAAAGGTTTCATAACTACAGAAGATAAATGTTTAAACATTGTATATATGAATGTACCCTCAAACATTTATTGCTGTGACGTTAGATATGGTTACATTATGTGGCTAAAATCATTAGTCTCATTATTCCTTTCTTTTCAGGGTTGGTTCCATCAGCTGTTCTTACAGTGACCAAACCTCAGTAAGCAACGATACACACCTTACAAAGTTATTAGGTATCACAAATAGTTTGACTGTATGAAGTAATATGAGTTTCAAAAAATCCAGTTTCCTCTTTTATAACCGATTGCTGTAAAATTTTACAAAATAAGAAGTGCTTACTAGTTAGAAATGACATCTCCGTGGAGACACCGAGCTTCTTCTGCAATTGAAAAATATGCAAAGTGATGATTTTCTTCTTCCAGTTGAATTACGAATAAATTAAAGCACAAATATCTTAGTAAGGTACCTCAATTTATATATATATTAAACATTGTGCATTCGTTACAGGATGTTATTTCCATTTTTAAGTTACATAATGCTGAAATAAAACTTGTTATTGTTTTGATACAAATTACTTTTTTGTTCATTGTCTTTTAGTGTATTGTTTTAAACGAAAGAAAAGTGGTTAAACAAGTTTAGTTAGTAAAAAAACGATTCTCAAAATGAAGAAAGAAGGTTACTTTTATTTTTCTAATATAGTGTGTTAAAAATCATAATTAAATATACAATATAAATTATTGTTTGTTACCTACAAAAAACAATAGGGCATTAAAAAAGTTAGTTTAAAATTATAAAACAATCTGAATTATTTTTAAAGTAAAACGAAGATCTCTCTTAATGTGGGTGAAACAAGATAACATTTTATTTGAGTTATCTTAAGCTGTTGATATTCAAACTTTTTATCATAGGATCTTAACAATTTAAAGATAATTTACTATGTTTATAAAGTGTTTTTAAACTTTGATAAAAACAAAATGTTGTCTTTGAAAACTTTATCATTTCCACTACAAGAAAGGTCTAAAATACAAACAATGTAAGAAAAAAGTCCGATGTAAAGGACATTACCACAGTGAGCATGGTCTCTATAAATGGCGGCATGTTTAAACTGTAATTTTTACAGTATTATAATGCATATATAAATAGCATTTGTCACTCCTCACCCATTTACCGAGTTCTGGTATTGAAAGAAAAGTTTACTTGACTGGTATTTGTGGGAGACAAAAGATAGATAAATGCTATTTTTACACATGCCTCTGAATTCAAGTCGCAGTGGACAGATTAAGAGGAATGAGAGGGATATGTGCAGTTAATATATTTTTATACAAACTTTAAGGCCCATTTATTTCTAATATTTCAGTGAGTTTGGCAGTTAAACCATAACTACTAAATATAACATGGAAAAAATAAAACTAGTATTACACATTATTGTATTTGTTGTACTTCGTAAGACTGCTGTGAATTATCTCAGGTATCATATTAAGTCCTAATGCTGGTTCTCGCATACCTGAGATAATTCACAGCAGTCTTACGAAGTACAACAAATCATATTAAGTCCTAATGCTGGTTCTCGCATACCTGAGATAATTCACAGTAGTCTTACGAAGTACAACAAATCATATTAAGTCCTAATGCTGGTTCTCGCATTAGTCATAACTATTTGCTTCAAACAAAAATTCTCTTTCCAATTTTAAATACGAAGTCAAATAATGCCAGATAGTTTAGTTTTGATAGTATAGTCATTACCGGAACAATTAATAATACAATGTTTAGTAATATTAGAGTACTTTTAAAGCGTACTGAACATTTTAATAAGTTAATTATAACGATTACTCTAGTACCAAACATCAGTTCTGTCTATTTTATACAGTATTTGACTAAAATTTCCATCGTTAAGTACTGACATTTCAATATCTGGATAAAATCCACATCTCTGGTAGACTGCAAGTGTAAATGAATGAAAAATAGTAAATGTGTCATAAAATGTGTGTTCGAAACTCTCTTGGTTTTTGTTTTTCTGGGAATAAATCCTATACCAGCCTCGCAAAAATTACCATGCACAAGTAATGAACGTTTGCTCGGGAGAGAGAGATAGCTTTTTTTTTCTTTTTTTCTGGTTATCAGTGAAAAAATTCTAATTGCTAATTGTGACTTTTGCAAGGCTGGTATAGGATTTATTCCCAGAAAAACAAAAACCAAGAGAGTTTCGAACACACATTTTATGACACATTTACTATCTATGCTATTTACACTAATTATATTGCTTCTGTTTAGAAATAACTAATCAAAATCAACGTCAAAAAGTAAATTGAAAACTGATTCAATAAAATCTTCTCACAATTCATCAAAGACTATATAAAACATTTTCATATGGATAACCAATAGTTACAAATACCATAAATTAAAACTAGAGTATTTATTTTCTGATTTAACACCAGTGCTTTCTCCACAGCAACAATTCCTGCATAATCTCCTATTTCAACATGTTACGACACAACTGGGTTTCAGTCATAGAAAAGTAAAAGCACATCATTGAAACCAAATATAATTAAAAATCACCAAGTTTTATGTTGGCTACTAAATCTTCTGAAGGCTGGATTTACGTATTACTGTTTTTAGTTGTGATAACTAAGCAGTAACATAATTTTGCTTTAAATACAACATTATCCTTAATTTTCATTTTGTAGCCCAACATAAAACTTCACAATATATTTCCTTATAAAGGATTTCTTGCAGCCCTTTCACTAATATTCATCCACCTACAAATATGACCGGAGTAATGTCCAACATTAAATCAAATAAAACATACAGGAAAGATTTTAACGGCATAGGGAAATATCCTAATAACAAAAATACCTACTTAGGGCCAATATTTAAAATATTGAATAAACCTGTAATAATTTTAGAGAAAAAAAATATTTAAAGTACAGCAGGATAATAGCAAGTCAAAATGGAATAAAACGATAGCACACACAGCAAATGAGATTTATTCATTGAAGTTTAGTAATATTAATTGTTCAACAACAGAAGATTATTACCTAATTGTTGATATTCGCTCTGTCACCAAATAATAAAGTATTTCTATATCTGAAACAACTTTATCCTGCCACGTTACAAAAGGCAGGCAAACCATTTTACAATAAAGCTAATGCATTCACAGTTCTCAGTACCAATAATTAATAGGCAAGATTCAGGTTTGATCATCATTTGTGGATAAGTGCTAATGGCCCACTGGAAAGTTACAACCTTTATTAATTTATGCTGAGCGTGTCCATTTATTCAATCTGCTAACTGTAACGTTAAATGAATCGTTAGAGTTTAATTTATAAGACTGCTGTTTGGTGATAACCTTGCTTTGCTAAATCAAAGTAGAAATACAGGAGCTTTTAAAAATACTGAATATATGTATGGTTAGAATATTCTATAAGTACATGGCACAGCCAATCACAAAATTTGATTTTCTGAGGAAAAACAAGCGAATCATTTGATGACCAAATATATCACTATATGGCAATCAAACCACAGTGTCCCTTTGTGTCAGATAGAAGGGATTCCTTGGACCCTCAAATTCTGAAGGGGGGAATCATTTCTATATATCTAGCTTTTCCTTATCAACGAAAACGTATTGCTATGTAGGCGGCGGGTGTTTTTGCGGAAAATAAAAAATACATACAAATATAATGACTGAACTTAGTTGCACACCGCTAGGTGGAGCTGATTGTGAGGCGAAGGAGTACCACAAAGTAAAGGGCCATATTGTTTTATATATATATAAAAACAAATTACAAACACATTTCCAAAGCACTGAATTTATCGAGTACATACGATACATTTAATTAATACCAAAAAGGCCATCAGAGATGGTATATTTAGTTGCCCACCGCTAGGTGGAGCTGATTGTGAGGCGAAGGAGTACCACAGAAAGTAAAGGGCCATATTGTTTTATATATATATAAAAACAAATTACAAACATTAATATAAATTACAAACACATTTTCAAAGCACTGAATTTATCGAGTACATATGATACATTTCATTAATACCAAAAAGGCCATCAGAGAATGTACTGTATTTATTACAACCACATGGATTAAAAGAATCTTTTAGGTTCTCTAAGTGGATTATCAAAACTAACAGTTGTACCTATGGTTTGATAAAAAAAACATCTATTAAACCGTACTTCTGTTAAACCTCAGTATGTAACTAATATGTGAAAAGTCACTTGTTCAACAGCACTTTCAATAAGACACGAACGAAGTAATATTGTAGGCGGAGGGTGACGCATATTTCTGGGAATCATATTCAGCACATTTAAGATTTTGATTACTTATATTAACTTCAACTTTTAATGCAGAAGGATTGATATCCTTTACAATATTCTGGTTTCCTTTTTTAGCTCCAACCCAGGAAGTTTGTCTTTGTGAGGATATTCCTTAAGAATCCACACCTATTATCTCACGTATTACAAACATGATAAAATACTTTATGGTTGAAATACAAAAAAACAAATAATGACATAAATTACATAACCATATTTATAACATTAGCAACAAAATGCATAACACCAAAACTACTGCAACTATTACAGATATTCATGACCAACACATAAACTCACCATAACACATAACACCAATACTACTACAAATATTATTAATATTTGTGGTAGTATTGGTGTTATGTGTTATGGTGAGTTTATGTGTTGGTCATGAATATCTGGATATTCATGACCAACACCAACAGATAAACTCACTGTTAATACAGATATTCATGACCAACACCAAAACATGAACTCACTGTTAATACAGATATTCATGACCAACACCAAAACATGAACTCACTGTTAATACAGATATTCATGACCAACACATAAACTCACTGTTAATACAGATATTC